CGTCAAAGGAATAAAATAACTCAATACTCAAATAAAAATGATTGCCTTCAGTTAAATATCTGCTTTTCTCAAACATCAAAAATAAGTTTAAAAACATTTGTTTGATCAGTTTAAATTTTGTTCCATTGATGAATAGTAATTAATCTTCTGATCATAGTTATCTTAGTTCCTTCAGTTTCAGACGATTTGAAGAATATGAGTAGCACTGGAAGTGTACACTTGAATTAATAAAATTTCTACAAGTCTTGTAGGTACATAATTCTCATCAGCTTCCTAGTTTTTCACTAGTATATTTTAAGATTATAGAAAGTACTAATCAACACAATTATTATACACAAATAGATCACTGAATGCCTGTTTCGTTAAGTTTTAAGAAATTATTGAAGCAGTGATGACTCATGTCTCCCTGAAAGGTAGGAGTTCAGAACCACTACCTTTTAAAGTGTTAAAATCAACAGTGACTAGATCTCTTTAGTAATCACACAACACTACAGGAATAATATTGCAAGATCAGAGTGCAAAGTGGTGAAAAATCTGGTTGTGAAGCTAATCACAGAAATGTTTTGTTATAATTAAGGTAAAATAATGAGAAAAAAGCAGAACACTAAGCCGTCGGGTCACTGGCTGTGCAATACTAGCTGGCATAGTGTAACTCAGACTTCCTAATTTGTGATCTGAACATTTTATCTAAGACAGTAATTCGTATTACCATTATTATTACTCCGTTGAGTTCATAGATCTTTAAAAACACGTCTCCATTTCACTGTCTTATCTGCCGTCTTCTTAATTTAGCTCCATGATTCCCCATAAAGTTTTATCTCTACTTCATGTGTTCTCTCCCCCGTTCACCCTCGTACTCTCAATTCATCGTTTCCCCTTTTAGGGTTCCACTCGAGCGATGACCTGGCGAGAGATGTCGCCTAACGTCTGATCCATCTCCACTTTCTTCGTTACACATTTTTGGGGAGATTGGCTCTTTGATTGGTTCATTGCCAAAGTTATTTGTAGCTAATCTAATTTGGCCATCTGATATTCAGTACACAGAGAAGGCAGATTTTAATAAACGTTTCCAGTAGCCCATTGGAAATGCTTTTCTTCACGCGTTGATCAAATTCTGATCCATATATTAAAGAAATAACCTAACACTGGCGGTGAAAATTGGGAATCATGTTCTTTATGCTAAGTGCAGGAAATTTCCAAACTGATTTCTAAGTGAGATCAAGGTTCTTTTTCGCCTTTCTAATCCATCCTTTGACATCCTCATCCCTGTTTCTGCCTGCAGTTGATTTTATGCTGCCTTGATAATTGAAGGAAGTGACTCCCTTCGAATTTCTTCCATCGATAGTGATTGGTGCTTGTTGTTGTCGTCGTCGTCGATTGGACATGTTCATTACCACCATCTTATCTACCATTACTTGAATTCCTGTCATTTGCCAACTTTTTGGTTTTTCGCCTCTAAGTCTTGGAATTTCCATGACATTGGACATTAATCGTCTGCGAAGTTCATATCTTCAAGAGTCCTCTAGTTAGTATAACCTATGCCAGCTTTCTGACTCCTCACAATCTGATGCATAATCTAGTCCACCACAATTAATAATATCATCAGTGATAGGCGTCAGCCTTGTCTTACTCCTGTGTGTTTACTTGAACCGCTTAATTGAGTTTTCAATTGTGGATCAACTGACACGTGTACCATTGTCATTATATCCAGCTGTTGAATGAGTTTGATAAAGAAAATAATGAAGCAGTTTTCAAGCGTTATTTCTCAGCCATCAGTGTTGAAGGCATTTTTGAGGTTAATGAAGTTGGGATAGAATAAGTGTAGGCTGCCTGCCATTCTATGCTTTTATTCGACAATGATGCGTAGAGTCGTTGTTTACAAAGGTAAATCCTTCTTTGCTGTGCGCACTGAAGCTGGTGTCCCTCAAGGTGTTGTACTCTCCCCACTTCTCTTTTCTTTCTTTCTTTCTTTCTACATGATCTACCATCTTTATATGACATTAATTTTGTCAAATATGCTGACCACCTGACTGTATCCTTGCATGTCAAATGTCAAAGTGACTGCTCCAAACAAAGTGGCTTTTTATCATAAATCAGCCAATGGTTCAAGAAAAACGGTCTAACCTTAAATCCTTCTAAATGCCAAACGGTCAATTCCACCTTTAGGCACAAATTTAACCTAAACAAACTGGTTAGTACTCACGAGGTGTGCAAAATAGATGGCACTGCAATAGAAACCAAGTCAGAAACTAAATATCTAGGCGTCATTCTATCTTCTGATCTTTCCTGGTCGTCTCATATCTTGATGATTTCTAAGAAAATATTCCGTCTTACCTTCTACATGAAGAAGTTAAGACATTCTGGAATAACTCAACCCTCACTCCTACGATTCGTTAACCCTTGCATCCTGTATATTATTCTCTATTGTTCCCCCTTAATTTTTCCGGTGGTACTTAAACAAGACTATACCTTATTATGCAGGATGTTAAAGGTTGTCAGCAGGGTAAGCAACGTGCCACTTAACCAGCTTGTTAATATTCTGGTCGACAGGCACATGGACTCGTATGAAAAGGGGGCTAAATCCATTTTATCTAACTCACACTATCCTCTTCATTCACAACTCTCCCCTTGTATCTCTTCAGGGTAAACCAGAAGCCTATATAGGAAACTATATGCTCGCACTAGTAAGTACAAAAGCTCAACCATACCCTACTTAGATCCTGTTCTGTGTGATAAAGAAAGTAATAGGCGTGATACCTATAACTTATTAAATGGTCAGTAGAACAAATGGATCTCGTCTTTCCAACTCATATCATTCATAGGTACAACGTTTCCTTTCCTTTTCTCTTTTTTCTGTTGTGTGCTGTTTTGTTTTTCTCTTCCTTACAAACTCTACTTAAAACATTCTTCTTCGTTCTCACACACTCTGTTTATCTCGACCTTTTTGTTACCGCTTACGCCAGCAAATATCCTAGCATCTACATTTCTATCACCTTCAAACACTGTTCACTTTTGGCTTTGCTACCGACACGCCAATATTTTGTTGTCACAACGAACTAAGATTATCCATGATCTATGTAGAATTTTATTTATTGTTAATGTACCAACTGGATGCAATACTGTATGTGGTGAAATGCTGACAATTCCATTCTGTATGACAAGTACTGTTTCGGAATAAAGTAAATTATTACTATTATTGGTCAGCACATCATTTTCTTTCCCTGAATCCATCTTGTTTCGGCCGGCGGAGTTCTGTAACTATATTGCATCATTTATTATCTCTTGGATAATGCGACCTAATATTTTATCTGGTGTGGAGAACAGTAAAATTCCCCAATGATATTCTGTACTAAGTATTATCATTTCTTCAAATAAGTCAACTGAATTGAAGACTGTTTCACCGACCCATCTAAATCATACTTGTTGTGTCGCTGGGGTAAAGTAACCTTAAATCAGTTGAAAGTGTTTCTTGATATCTAGATAATGTCAGTATGTGTTAACGTAGTGCTAATGGTTTTCATACATGTCTGTTAAATACATCTGTCAAACACTAGCTTTTATTTCTTATTTTACCTCAAGTTTAAAACCAACGATTAAGTTATGTAGTCTGTCACAACTGAAAGAGAGAGCCGATAAACTACGTCGCTGCAAGATTCGTGCCAGACTCCGCCTAAACACTAATCTATCTCTTCAACAACTTATCTACTAGATGTAACTGCTAAATAGGTATTAATTTTACTATAATCTCTACTGTTAGTCACTTTTTAATGTCCCATAATCATATAAATTAGACACAGGAGTTCTAGTGTCCTTCTTCATATCCGGGATTAACTAAAGTGGTCTCGTCATAAACAGAGAACTTCAACAGATTTAGATCGTTATATTCTAAAGGGAAAAATACTAATCAAACCAATAAGCTGTTAATATACTGTGTTGGATATTTTAAGAAAAAAAAACAAAATGAAAAGGAGAATTCCACTTCATATCATTATCGTTTTATTTAACATATTCACAATATTAATTTTAATTTCTTTTGAATATAATCACGTTTTATAGCCTCTTCTTTTTGTATGGTAAACATGGTTTTACAAAGAAGAAAAACACACACACGCAACTGAAAAGGAGGAGAATATTATAGAAAAACATATAGTTAACTGGTAAACTCTTCTAAGAATTCACTCAATCAATTCTTTAGTTATTTTAAAAAAAACCTAGTCAAAAACAAAACTCCCAGAAAGTTCAGCATTATTATTCAAAAGAGAGACAAAAAAAAGAGTATTCATTTCTACAGAATGGAATAGATGGGCGAAAGGTGGGGAGGAAGGAGAAAGTAGGGCGCATGACAGAAAGAACAATAAAATATCCTCACCAAGTAGTTGACAGAAATGATGAATAAAAAGTTATCCAATCCAAAATATTCACCAAAAACATTTGTGATTAATTATAACTACTCACATGAAATTAAGTAGTACAACTATATGTAATGAAATAATTGAATTGATGAGTAAAGAATGCTAATGGCATCAAGTTGCACCATCGTAAACATATGTTGTATATAAATAATATTTAGATAGTTTTTGACTTTTCTCTCCTTCATCAAGAAATATATCTAAATATAATCTTGAAAATGTAATATATGTTTTTCTGGCCATTGAATACACAAGCCTGTGTCTGTTTGTTTGTTTGTAATGATGATAGCCGAAAAATCCCTTCATCATTGAGCATTGTATTACCTCCATATTTGAAAATTTTCAAATGTGTTTAATAGAAAATATTATATTGCAGGAATATATAGGTTTTAAGTATATTGTATGTATGTATGTATGAATAATGAATTATTTAGGAAAGACAGTTATAATCATAAGAATTTATAATCTTGTATAAATAAAATTTCTAGTATTATAACTTTTCTTTTAAATATTATGCATTTATTTGTACTAGAAAAAATAAAAGAGATAAACAAGAAGAAATGAAAATAAATTAAAAGAGAAACAGAGAGTTTACTTTCCATTAGTAAATCTTGTATTATAATGTGTTAATAATTGACGTTTCTTTTGAATAGTTTTACTATACGTTTGTATAATACACTTTAAACATGAACGTATACAATGAACTCTAGTAGCTAAATTAACTAATTCATTAATAATTTCATCTAATAATAATAGAATAGCTGCCAATAAGTGTAAAAAACACGCAAACCATGAAATACCATAAGCTTCACCAAAGTTTACAGGACCTTCTGTTCGTAAATGCAATCGAATTGTGATGTGATAAATTAGTACTGATAAGGCAGTAACAAATGCTAAAAATAGAATGAGAAATAAAAAAGAGATAGAGAGGAAATGAGAGGGGGAAAACTATGAAATATAATAATAATAGTGTAAATAAATCAAAAAAGAAAAAATCAGATAGATAAAACAAATATTTGATTAAGAAATTCTTATGAATATAGATTTATCCCATTCATATGCATATACATATATGCAAGGTAATCCCTTAACGATGAGAATAATCTTCCTTTCATTATTCGGGTAATATATAGTGTCTAGTGAAGGAGTCTAGACTTTGCAGACAATTCATGTCTAATGTTGTATAAGCTCGAAAGCCAACAACTTTTAGGAAGAGGCTGATAGAGAAGACAAAAGTGACGAAGACACCTACCTAGTGATCAGTAGTACCAAGCACCGATCACCATATCAACAGGAGAAATTCGAAGAAAGTCACTTCTTCCCCTTTTTTATCAAAGCGGCATTTCCACAGCCAAAGGTAGCGGTACAGATGACAACGTCGAAAAACAGGTTCGAAAAAGGACGACAGATCTTCATTAATCCGAAAGCAGAGTGGAAATCTGATGTAGTCCGCATTAACAACAAGATTTAGATTTTCAACGCTTATGTTAAGTCGGTCATTGCTTCTGTAAGGTTCAGTCACTTGGCGCCTAAATCACTAAGAGCATTTACTACAGGCTGCTGTAGACCTTTAATAACACCCACCTACCTACCGTACATACTGAAGAGAATGGAGATTAGCAACAAGGAATTCTGGAAACAAACCAGTCAAGAACCTATCGACCAAAAATGGGGCAGAAGACAGTGGAGATGGCCCAATGAGACGTCGAGTCGCACTACACTGCAGTCAGGCCTTCGAGTAGACCCCAAATGCGAAACAAGAGACTGAGAATGGGTCTGAGGGGATGTGGAAGAGGTCGTATGAGGGGTAGATGAAAGTTTATGAGCAATCTTGGAAGCAGCATCGGTGTCCCCAGTGGTTAGGACTCTCGCTGACCATGCATATAGTTCGAGGTTTAGTCTCCTGCCAACGCACACCTGATATCTTTGGTTGGCCAGCGAAATCGGGCTACCGATATCGCAGACTGCAAATTCCATACTTGTACCAAAAATACGGTATGGAATCAAGTTGTTATCAAAAATGAAAAATGAAATCTACAGTTGAGGCCCTATGTTCCAGTAGAAACCCACGGGAACAGTAGTAATAATAATAATAATAATCATAGAGGAATTGTATTTGATTCAGAAACTCAAAATCAGCTGACACAAATCTTAAACAATCCTTTCGCTAACACACCTTACTAATGTCAGTTCAGTTATTCAAACGTATCATCTTTGAAAATATAAAAACCATAGAAAGCAACACCGAGACATCATGGTGGAGAAATTTTTTTAATCTCAAATGGATGTTTCCCATCTGGTTGGAATTATTGGGAAAAATTTCATTCTCATACTTTGAGATAATATCTTCAATGGTAACTTCATTCACTAAATGAGAAAAATCAACAATGCTATAATTTAATTTAATAAGATGAATAACTGAAACCTTGTTTATCACATCAGGTATGAATATATATAGTAAGAATGGCACAGTAGCTATCTTGTATATATCAGAAATTCTACTACCCTCACGCCAAATGGGAAAGAAAGGCGAGAACTAAAAAAAGTAAATCTCTAAGTTGCTTTTTATAGTTCCCTATGAATCATGTAACTGTCATTTAACCTGCCTGCTGTGACTCATCAAAGAAAGGATCACTATCAGAAAACCCTTAAAGAAAATAGATCGAATTGACATTTTGAAGAACAGTTTGTGGTGAAAGCTTGTCTTCATAAATTATTTGTGTCGATTTAAGTGTTCTGTAAGCTAGAGAAATTTCAACTGATGACCGTTTCGCTATCCTAACAGGTATCATTATCAGTGCAATTTCGTAAGAAAAGTTGAAATGCATTTATCATTTGAAACTTCAACCAAAAGAAAATGTTTTCATTATTGTTTTAAGGTTGACAAGAACAGGATCAGTTAGTGTGCACAGGTTATTCATTACACTGGACAAACGTGGCTTCAGAATCTTTTTTGGTTGCTAATAAGAGCCTACTAATCTAAACATTTAACTAAATCGATTTGTCAGTAGGTTGTAACCAGTATCTTGCATCTGTTCCTTAATGCTGATGTTGACGGAATTCTATCATTTAAGCTTGTGGTGTGGTCGCCAATTTAGGCAGCTTATTATCGTCATGAGCTCTTAATGCTTGCTAGATGGTTAATGGCAACCAGCCAGAAGCCTTGGACCTAACTTTTATGCTTACTGGCACCCACTAGCAAGGAGTATCTGAACTAACCTGCATTGGGCCTTCTTGCCGACAGTCTCCAATCACTTAATAACCTTATATAGTAATCTAATTAGTCTAGGTGTTTTGGAGTTTGGTGTCAAAAAATAATTAATATTAAAGTTGTATGCTTTGCCAACAGTAAGCATAACACGGAGCGTCGGTGGAGCAGAGGTAGAATGCTCGCCAAACACGCAAGTAGTAAGGGGTTCGATGACCAGCCGATGCACTCCTTTACCTCGCTAAGTCAGCAGTAAGACTGGTAAAGAGAGAAGGTTGTGCAAGCCTCTAGCTTGAAGCCCTATGCGTTCCACTGGGAACGTGCAAGAATTAAAAAAAATATGTATATAATACGGTGCTTATTTAAATGCTTTAAAAAATACATCTATGAATGAGTTTCTGTTTATATAATCCATTCAAAGTTGGAAATTCGTTTAACAGTTAATCCGTAAAACAGATTAAATTTAATTAAAATTCATTTCAGCAAAATAATCCAACACAGAATGAAAGTATTTTTTCTAAAAAACTTTCTTATCTCTATCGTTTTTTAGATACGAAGAAAAAAAGTTATCCAGACGTCTACGTCAGCTGGTTTATGAACGACTTCGACTTTAGGTTTGTAGTAATTGGGATTAATTTCAGAGTAGATTTCATGGATTCCACTCTAGGGAGTAGTCAGTGTCATGTGTGTAATCTCCGGTGTTGTCGCTGACTGAATTCTTCAAGTCATATTTGTAATGGGGTCACCAAGATAGTGTTGGTAACCACTAAGGTACACTGTGAATTACTGTGAGGTAATCGGTGGCAGCTGATAGGAAGCTTCAGAGCTAAGTTTTATGTTTGCTGATACTCGTCAGTGAGGCGTTTCTAGAACCATTGAAGGAATTCATATCCCTTTTGAAATTTGAGCCTACAGAGCCCATTGGTGCGGTTAGAAACGTTACCACTAAGATGTTAGGGATCAATATTGTTCTTTTCACCTCAATTTACAGTACGAATCACACGTAGTTTGGTGATCACATCGAAAAACTACCTGACAGACTCATGACACTGACTACTCCCTATCGGCCAGTTAATGCATTCATTATTGCCCTATAGGATGTCAGTCGTGAGGTCGAATAGCTCAGTGACGCTATGCGGCGGCCTGCTTGAACATAGGGCTACCAAAAATTCCACCTTACAACATTTTGCAAAATTGCTTTGGTTTGCTCTTTTAATTTTGTTTTAATTTATCAATAATGTGTCCTAATCGTATTATATATAATCGCGCATTTTTAAAATCATTACAACCTACCGCGTTGTGTCATCCACAAAAATTGAGAAAAAAGCATCACTGTGGCTGGCAGCGTGCACTGAAACGTACACAAATTAATCAAATGACTGTTCCTGAACTCGTTAGCACTAATTGTAGATCCCTGTCCAACAAAATGGATTACCTTCAATCCCTAATGTATTCCAATGTTTATCGAAATGCTGGCGTTTTAGCAATACAAGAGACTTGGCTGCACCAGCATTATGATGATAATCTAGTTTCAATAAATGGATATAAAGTTTTTCGCCAAGATAGAAATAGTTCCAAGAAAAAATATGGAGGAGGGGTAGCCACATATATAAACACAAATTGGTCTACATCAAATCACGTTTGCTTCAATTATTCTAATGACAATATAGATTGCATAACCGTCAGGTGTCGCCCAAAACACTTAAGTAAATATTCTTATATATACATAACAAATATTTACATAACACCCAATTGTAGCCTTTCTAATATAGTTATGTTTGCAGATGAGTTTACTGAATTCGCTGCTCCTGCATTCGGAAACTCGTTGTCTATAGTCTGTGGTGATTTTAATTTATGTGATCACAGCTTTCTTACTTCGCTTGGTCATGAGAATCTAGTCAAGTTTAATACACGTCTGGACAAATCACTAGACCTGGTTTTCATAAATGACCGTGATGTATATGAAACCCGAAGGAGAGCTCCTTTGCTAAATTCTGACCACTGCATTATTCGTATTTTACCGAAAGTGTACGGCAAGTCACAACGAAAATTGTTTAGTCATTTAACAAAGAAGATACATGAACGTTCATATTCCCATGACAACATTCTAGCATTAAGAAGCATGTTGCATGATACCAACTGGGAACTGTTTACTGACGATAAGTTGGATGCTACTGTCTCTAATATAACCGATTATCTGAAGTTTTGTTTGGATATTTGCTGTCCTTATGAAACACTGTTTTCGAGATTTGACAGAATCTCTTCTGTGCAACTGAAAAAACTTAGAAGACAAAAAGAGAAGTTGTATAAGAATTGTGATAATACTGGTGTCCGTAAAATAAACACCCTTATAAAAATTGAAATAGAAAGGTTGAACAGACTATATAATGAAAAATTTTTATCATGTAAAAATCCTTCAAACATTTGGAAACTTTTCAATAAACTAACAAGTAAAAAACAAATGTCCGTTGATGCTTATTCTGATGTTAATGCTTTAAACAAATCATTTATCAAGAAACAAATTAATATGGTTGTACCTGATGTACCTAGTCAAGAAAATGGTCATTTTCAGGGTTTTGAAGAAAAGGATGTACTATTATGTTTGAAGTCATTAAATCCAACACACAGCCTTGGTCCAGATGGTGTACCAAGCATTCTTCTCCAAAAGTGTGCAGACATCTTGTGTCATCCTCTTACTCAAATCTTTAACGCATCATTTAAGAGGGAAACGGTACCTGCTGACTGGAAAGAAATCAAGGTTGTACCTGTACAGAAATCATCTTCTGGAGCAGGTATAAAATTTAGACCAGTCGCTATAACATCTCCTTTTTTGAAAACTATGGAGAAACTTCTTTTGAATATTCTTAAACCTTCTTTAAAAGCTTTTAATGACCCTAAGCAGTTTGCTTATAAGTGTGGAAGAAGTACATTAGATGCAGCCATTGTACTACACCACAATATTGTTTCCTGCCTTGATAAGGGCGCTAAGTTCGTTCGAACAGCTTTCTTAGACTATACTGCAGCTTTCGACTCTGTTCCTAGGACACTTTTATTAGGAAAGATGATTTCAGCACAAACAGAGTCCTGGGCAACTAGATGGCTGTCTTCTTATTTTAAGGATAGGAAACAGCATACTGTTTTGGCTGGAAAGCGCTCCACTTCCCAGCTAACTGAAAGTGGTGTGCCTCAAGGTGCAGTACTTTCTCCATTTCTTTTCTCTTTCTTTCTGCATGACCTTCCGAACTCACCCAAAGTTAACTTCATTAAGTATGCTGATGACCTGACCGTTTCTGTCCCTGTAGTTTCCACATCGGATTGTTCCTATATGAATGGCTTCCTAGCTGAAGTTAAGGATTGGTCTGGCTCAAATGGTCTTAAACTAAATCCAACTAAATGTAACACTGTTGATTTCAGCTTGAGAAGTGAAAAAGACATGCATGGATTGATTCAATCTCATGATTGTTGTAATATTGATGGTACCATGATAGAGAGTAAGTCAAGTGTTTCTTATCTTGGCATTAGTTTCTCGTCAAATCTTTGCTGGTCGTCTCATATTCTTATAGTTTCTAAGAAAGTTTTCCGTCTGACTTATTACATAAAGAAGTTGAGACACTCAGGTATAACTCAATCTCTTATCATACAATTTATTAATTCATGTGTTTTGCCCATCATTCTTTATTGTTCTCCATTATTCTTCCCTGGGCTACTCAAGAAAGATCATATAATACTACGAAGAACATTGAGGGCTGTAAGTAGGGTCAGTGCTATCCCTTTGACTGAACTAAATGACACTGTTGTCAATAGGCATATGAATTCTTGTAAACACTTAGCTAAAGTTATCTTATCTGATAGTGAACATCCTCTTTATTCACAATTGTTTCCTTGTATCTCTTCGGGTAAGACCAGAAGAAATTTTATAAACATTTATGCTCGTACTACAAAATATAAAAATTCGACCGTTCCATATTTGGCACGAGTATTGTGTGAAGAGACAAATATCAGAAAAGAACTTTTACAACTTTTGAATCAGTAACTAAACTATAAAATGTAATGATGCATATTAATGCAAGTGTTATTTGTTATATTATTTATTTATTATTCACTATGACCTAGAAATGGTATGATTTTGTTGGGTTTTTTATTTATATTTATTATTTTTTCCTATTAACTATCAATATTTTAACATTTTATATATTTATATAATTATAAACAGAGCTAAACCATTGCAATATGTAAAAGAAACGCTGAAAATTCCATGCTGTAAATTGTTATTGTTGTGGAATAAAGTGATTATTATTATTATTATTATTATTATTATTATTATTATGTCTCTGACTGCAGTACTGAGTGACACCAGTTCAAATCTCAGAAGGGATACTGATTCCTTCAAGGTTCTAGATGTGCCTTAACGATGAGTGCCAACAAGTACAGAACCTAGGTCTAGGGCTCCCTGCCGTTTGCCCCCGACCAGCTTATATATCAGTTGACTTCAACAAACAAAACATATTTCTTATAGTTAATTTTCTATTTCCCGTTGATCGATTATATCACAATGGACCAAACTGCTAAATCTCTATTTATATATTGTGTTGTAAATGACATATTAGAAAAAAAACTTGAAACAAATAGGTGACGAGTTCGAGTCTCAACGGGAACACATCATACACTGGAGACAGTCGGATGTATTATCTGATGAGTGTCAAATGAGTAAAAGATGCGAATCAACAACACCATCTATAGATAAAAAGATGGAATTGCAATAGGATCTCTATTGGGTCCACTACTACCAGACTGCTTCATGGAAAGCCTCGAGAAAGGTTCATTAAAGCCAAGCATCGACAATTTACGACTGTATAAAAGGTACGTAGATGACATATTCATTATTTGTGACAACAGTAATGACCCCAATCTACTGCTGAGAACATTTAAGTGTTATATAGGTCGTACTCAAAGGAATTTATCTTTGTGCACTCGTGAACATATTCCTGTTTGGCTTGGGAAAAGAGCAATCCAATCATTAAATCGTGCAATTCTGTTTCATCTATCGGATACCGAACACAGCATCGAAGTAGATGAGTCATTTACGGTTGTGTATCGAGTACCGAATAATCTCCCCAAAGGCACACAATTACGTCTCCTAGCCATAGCTATGGCTTTAGAGAGACCAGACCTATGTGTACAGAAAAAACTTATTCAATCTCTTTGTCTACCCTGGCCCACTATAAGGTCACCAGGATCATAATTTTTATTACTATTATTATCATTTTGTGATATCATGTCTTTATTATCCATTTCACCACCCAGTTTATTTCATCTCATTGTTACCCTTAGTTTTTGTCAAACTTTATGATTTTATGCTAAGCCTACCAAATCTGTAACATCTTATTACAATTTAGCCTCTTTATTTTATTATTAGACATTATCGGTCAGTGCTCACATTCAGTCCCTCCTTTATTAATGTGTGTTTGTATATATTTTGTGGTTATCGCATTTCTCTCATCCCAATGACACTTGTATTCTGTTGACTATAACACGACACTATATTGCCCAATTGTTCATTCACACTTCATCACAATTTTTCTGACTATACAACCTATACACGTTAAATTGATTATGTTAACTAATGGACTATCATCTCAACTTACACCTGCACTCCAATACAGTTTCTGATATTATTTTCATTTGCCTTTATTGGCTGGCTATATGTACTCTATTATTCATGGATTTATAACTGTAGAGCCTGAAGAAGAAGTCATCGAAACCACAATTGTTCGCTCAAAATCTTGTTTTGATTACATTTAAGTGTTGCCAACCTGCAATAAAATCCACACTTGAAATGGAAAACGAATCAAAATTCCCTTTTTTGATGTGAAAATATCAAAAAGAACTGGTGGGATCTTAAGGGAGCGATCCATAGAAAAGCTACTTGGAATAGTCAGCTAACAAGCTTCTATAACTGGGTACGCATTCGACAAAAGAGGAATTTAACTAAATCCCTTGCCACCCGTATCCAACGCATCTGTAGTCCTAATGTTCTAGGAAGAGAATTAGATCTTTCAAGAGAAATTTTCATCCAAGATGAATACCCACCAAGATGCATTGATGGAAATGTCAAACCAAGAATTTGGAGAAATGAAACTTCACTTCGGCTGAAAAAGAAACTCTACATGAACTTGGATTTCGAGGGAGATTTAACAAACGATATTCTCAAAAGAAGGATCACATCACCTCTGAGAAGAACATTCTTTGCAACAAACGCTAAGAATAGTTTTCTTCGGTCGCCCACTCATCTGCAGAAGCCTCAAGGATAAGACTTCGGATCTGACCACTTCTATGTGCATATATCAGTTCACCTGCCTCTGTGGAGCCAGGTACATCAGCTGTTCGACGCGCATTCTGTCCAAAAGGGGATTCAAGAACACTATCCAGCAGGGTTAAGAAAAGGCAATGGTGGTGCTATAAGGAATGCGGTAATTGAACACCTGGTTAACGCTAATCATCACATCACAACAAGCACCTCCTTTAAGGTAATTTACAGAACCAAGAATAACCTATCAAAGGTAATAAGGTTTCGTCTTCTTTGTATCGCTGAAGCTTTAATCATTCACATAAAAAACTGGAGCTGTGAATTACTCAGCCACCTCTACTATCATGGTAACATCTTCTTCGATTTTTGATGACTGCTAGTCATCATCCGCCAAAGAAACACAACACTTGTATTATTAATATTATTGTTCCCTTGGGTTCCTAATGGAACATAGGGCTTCAACTGCACGCCTCCACTTCCTTCTGTCTTCCTTCTGCTGTACTTTTCACCTGCATCCATGTTAGTCCATACTCTTTCAACTCCTCTTCACATGATTTCCTCCATGTCACCCTCACACTGACGTCCCACACACCGCTTCCGTTTTCGCCCTGGTTCCACTCGAGCAATGGCCTGACGCGAGCGCGATGTCACCCAGCGGTCTCCTCAGCGAGTGTCTGATCCATCTCCACTTTCTCCTGCATATTTATTGGTTGGCGATTGGTTCTTGTTTTGTTTGTTCCCAGTCAGAGTTTCTTGTTGGTGATTGTTTCCGGCCCGGCCATCTGATCTTCATTCAGTATAGAGCCAGTGAAGACAGTTAGTTGTTGATAAAGGTCTGCAAAAGGCTGTTGGAAATATTCTTTGTGACCCGCCCGCCAAATTTCTGATCCGTATAGAAGAACTGACTTGACGTTGTTTGCATTGAAAATCCGAATTTTGTTGTTGATACTGAGTGATGCCTAGATTACCAGCTCGCTAGTTTTCTAGCCAGTCCCAAGCCTGGATAAAGAGGGAGGGTTGGGGCGTGGTGCTAGCAACTCCACTCCCCACCCTCAAACTTAACCAAATCGCTACAAAAACTTCAACACACAAATATGTGAAAAATTCTAAAAATATAAACAACACCTGTATACATACACATATACACATATTTTAGAGAATAAAATTACCTGCAACAACATGTGCTTCACCACCTGAATGAAAATAATATAATCTTTTAGGAAGAGCATAAACTAAGTGGCCAGCCACTGAAAGACTCAATCCTAAGAAACTTAACAATATAGCCAGTATAAGTATAAAGAATGCACCATCTTGCCAACCTAAAAGAGCAAAAAGAACAAAAGCACATATCAAAGTTTAATCAATACTCAACTGTAATTCATTTATCTAGGTTTACTAATATAAGTAAATAAACAAAAAAAGCAATAGATTTTTTTTAATTTGGTGATATCAAGTGTCAACCAGGCTTTCGCACTGATTTGGCACTCATCAATGGGAATGAATCTGCAACTAATTAAGTGGTGTATGTCTAATTTCTTTCACTTTTCTTCCACAAGCTGAATTGTACAAATCCACCAGCCTCCCAGTCTAATTCAGATGGTTAATAAAAAATCCGTTTAATTGATAAGCGGACTGTCCAAGGTAGCCACTGTTGGTTGGTTTATCACCATTTAGATGTGAATCACACTAGATTAGGAGGATAGGAGCATACTGCCAATTGATTCTGAGATTATCTCAGATATGCGGGTTAGAAAGTCTTATTTATCACTCTGGCTAGACGTTAGCAGACTGGACATGCGGTCTCCACTAGGTCTTATATTTGTCAACATATTCCTAGCACAACTATAAAATGGTCTGTTGAAAGGTGAAATATCAAAAATACAACTGTACTGTAGTTACATGGATTAAAATTTTGTGATGTACGACGTAGATAGACATAGCGATATGACTTTGAGGCACTTCAATAATGCTCACCAAGCAGTCTATTTCAGCTAGACAAGAAAATACAATAACTCTTTTCATTTTCTCGTTGTCTGACTGACAAGTAGAGACAGTCTTAGATAGCTGTAGGCAATCGGCCACAGGAAGCCTTGGCTGCACCTAGGTTTCGTGCTAGATGGCACTCACCAGTCAGCAAGGTGTATCTGCAACCTTGAAGGAACTCATGTCTCTACTGAGATTTGAATCAGCATCACCCAGTGCTGCAGTCAGAGACGTTACCACTGACAGTGGATACTTTGATTGGACACTAGTAACACATCATACTAGTTACTAGCGTCCAATCAAAGTATCCACTACAGGCCTACAGGAGGTCAGTCGTGAACCAAAATAGCCCAATGGTAACATCTGTGACAACAGCTGACAATGAGTGGCGTGGGCTTGAATCTCAAAAGGGACGTGATTTCCTTCAGGGTTGCAGATACGCCTTGCTGATGAGTGCCAACTAGCACGAAACCTAGATGAAGCAAGGTTTCCTACCGATTGCCTCCAACTATCGAATATCATCAAATCAATGTGCACCTTGATGGTCGGCTAGCTAGAATGATGGCCACATCGTAAAACCTGACTGAGAGAATTCAGTCTGAACCAATGAAAGGACTTACACTAGTTACCAGTGTCCAATCAAAAAGAGACAATCTTACACAGCTTTCAGATAACACCATCTTTCCTATATTGTGGCGTGTGCTGCTGGTAAGACTTTTCAGTAGTATATAAAGAGACATCCATCAGCATAAAAAAAACATTAAATAGCGGGGAGATAAATTTGACGTCAAAAGAGCAAATGATTAAGCGTTGCGGAGAAACATGAGAGACGTGAAAAGGAAAACAAAAAAGAAACAAAAAAATGAAGAACAGAAGCAGGACAGCACGGAAGATCTGTGCAAGTGGTGTGTTGAAGGTAAGGTGTAGATAATTTCCCTATATATAGATAGAGATACCAAATTCTCTTGCCAGCTACGGTTACAATATAACAGATATGCTTTGTTCTCTACTGTCTGTTACTTATTAGATTCTTCAAAGTATTTGTACTCACTATTCGTGCTTCTCCTCCAGTAGCTTTTTCACCATTGAATTAGCTTCTCTGAAGGCGGTAATTAATATGCTACTTATGTCTTACTTATGTGTAGAATGAAACGATGAAGCTGGGTTCATCTTTCAGAGGGAACATCAACATTCTTTGGAACTGAATGTATATCTAGCTAACGAGCCTCAAAGTGAACGAAACAAGGCGTAGTAGTCAGTCAGTAATTCAGTGACATAATACTCGCCAGCTAATCAAAAGGTTCGCTTTCTGTTCCAGGCTGAAGCAATTCTAAATCTCTCGCCCAGCTAACTAGCTAATAATAAGTTCGAGAAATATATTTAAGTTTGGGTTACTGAAAAGTCCAAAAATGGTTTGAAGCCATTGATGTTCTACTTGGAATTTGAGTGAGTGAGATCATAAATAAAATGATAGTGTGCATAAGACGTGTTGAACTTAATAGTAGTAGTACTGAAAATGCGAGGTTTATAACAGAACAAAATTTCAATTCATTTGTGACATATTTATGTAGACATAATGAATGTACATTTTATGCATGGATAATCATTCATTGTTCACAGGTCATATGAATAATTCACTCAGCTTATCAATATTAATCAATAAGTATCAATCTATACTATTTGAACGAAGCAAGAACTACAGTTTCAACAGAATAAAATGGTACCAACTTTTATTTCGTTGGCTTCTCGTCAACTGCTCCCACAGAAGAAAGGAGCAGTTACATTGGAAGGACAAAAAGAAGGGCGTATCTACGATTTTCTGAACATGTACCAAAAAGCCTATGTCTGAAAGGAACGAATGCTTTAAACAGTGCCATCGCTAGGCATCTCTTCGACAGGGATCATCAGGTGGACATCGAAAAGCCGTTCAAAATTATCAATAGGCAAAAGAGCTCAATTCTCCTTAAGTTTGTTGAAGCCATTTGCATCAAGCGCCTGAAACCTGATTTATGCGTCCAGAAAGAAGCGGTCATCAGTCTTTCTTTGCCAACCTGATAACTGGATGTTTTTCGTCTCTCTTTCATCCGAATGAGAAATGCTGAAAAGTCTCCACTGTGTATGATTATTACTGTTCGGAATAGTGTTTAATATTACATATATATATATATATATACTATCACTGTATGTGGGTTTTTTTAAATGTACTCTGTGTAAGAATGTTAAAATTGTTTTTGTAGATATATTTAATAATGTCTTCGCCCTGTAGGCAGATGACGAGAAGGCAACGAAATAAAAGATGGTACCATTTGATTTTGCTAAATTTGTAGTTCTTGCTTTGTTCAAATTCATTAAGGGGAATAAATGTATGAAATCTATACTATTTTAAAATTATGATATAAATATTTAGTGTAAGTCATGAGTCAATATTATTTAAGATCACAAAATTATCATAACATTAACTTTATTCTGGATATTTACGCTTATTGGCGAAATAATCCAGATAAATGACTTAAGTAAATAAGCACCGGGAATTTCCGTAGTGGATAACACAGTTATAACAGAGATATCAGGTTCAGTATTGATAACAAATGCTGTTCAGAATATGCTCAAATAGCTATAATTTTTGAAGAATAAGCCTAAAATTATAATTTTAATCTCTGACTTATAACCCTGACCATAAATCCTCACTGTAGCCGTACCTGTTGACCTGAGATGATAGTCATTTGGATGAATATTGTCACTTTTGTAGGAAAACAAAAAATTGAGCAAAGAATATCCTTTTCAATAATTTCCTCTTACGGTTTTACAGTTATGTATATGTGTATATATACATAGAATATTCTAGAATAATCGTCATTAACAATACTGGTGTTTTTTTCAGTACTATCGATTAGTTAAATAAGATCAATGGAATTACAGTTCACCAAATTAGAATATTAGAATGAGCATACAAATACAATAGTAAATAGAATATCAATGTAAAAGAATATCAGAATGTAAAGAATATCGGTATAAAAGATGTATTCAGCTTTGTGGAAACTACCAAAAGCCTGAATGTAAAGGGAAGGCAAGTGATTTATTATTTATTTTTTTTTAAATTTTATTTTTGATTACAGCTTGATTCCACACTGTATTTTTTGTACAAGTATGGAATTTTCAGTATGTGATATCGGTAGCCCGAATTTTGCAGGCCAACCACAGATATCAGGTGTGCATCGGCAGGAGATCGAACCTCGGGCCATGTGCATGGTCGGCGAGAGTGCCACCGACGCACTGGATGTAGCATCATTATTCACCAACGTCCCACTGCTTGAAACGGTCAACTACATATGTGACCAGCTGATAGAAAGAAAAATAGATGCAGGAATCCCACCCGAAAAAGTCAAAGAATTATTATTGAAATGCACTATGAATGTTCAGTTTATGTTCAATAATGGTTTTTATAGACTTAGTTAAGTGTCTTACTTACGGAATACAACGAATATGCTCAGAGGAATGTATTAAGGAAGAAATGCATAAACTAAAACTCACACTGCAAGAAAATGGATATCCACAGAGCTTCCTAAAAAAGTATATGTCAATACCTACAGACAGGGTAAAGATGGATACCGTAGACAAGAAACCTTTGTATCTTAAGTTACCAAGGGGAAATTGCAGCTGACATTCTAAAATGTCGACTCAATATAGCAATAGATAGAACATTTCCCGCAGCTAAACTAGTACTAAACTTCTCAACTAAACCATTACTCACACAGCAAGTGAAGGATAAGTTACCAAAGATGGCCTCATCAATGTGCATCTATGAATTCAACTGCTCATGTGGAGCCAGTTAGGTTGGCCGTACTCAGAGGGCTTTATCAATGAGCGCGCGTGAATATGTACCTGTATAGTTAAGTAAAGGAGTAACCAAATGCATAAATAGTGCAGTCTCAGCTCACCTGGTAGATACTGGACACCCGATAAAACTTGATCAGGCGTTCTCAGTTATTTACCGCGTTCCTAGTAATTTATCTAGAGGAGCTCGACTACGTCTTCTATCAGTAGCTGAAGCAGTTGCAATTAATACCAGAAGACCATCTGTTTGCATACGGAAGAAGTATGTTCAACCTCTATGTTTACCTTGGCCTACAATGAAGCCAACAAATCCTCCATTAACACTTTAAATTCCTTTCACAATTTTCTTTTCTTTTCCTTCTTCTATTCCTCTGTTTCATTGACAAACGTTCATTTTCGACTTTTATGATTTCATGACCTTTCTTATGATTTTATTACCTTAGGTTTAAGTAGTGCTTTTCTAACTTGTTATCGTATTTACAAAATCCCGTTCATTCCACTTCATTATATTCATTATTATTATTTGACAACTATCCATCAATAATGCTTTCAATTTTACACCATATCATCGTTATTATTTTACAATCATTCTTATTGTTGTTATTTTCAACCTTGAACTTATTTCTAGACCGCTCCATTAGTTGGTTTATTTTCATATTGTCTCACACACCCTGATTACACTCACTCATGAAACCTGTATTTTCTGTTGACTATATTTAATTTCTATAGTTTTGGTTTGTAAGGATTAGTTATGTTTTTACGAGTTGATCACGGATTGATATCAGTTAGAGAACCATTGAAAACCAGGGACTACTGGAGTACTGCTGTTTCATCCTAGTTTGGGAACCCTTACAAACCAAAATTATAGAAAATTAATTTGGTGCTCGCCAGTGACTTGCTACAGGATGGAGTTTCCTGGAGTTCTAGTGAGAAGTCGTGACCAGTGAGGTCCAATTAGATGTCAGGAGTGTTGATGGATGTCCCACCAACGACAACGGTTGGGGTCGCGCTAAACCATGGATTAGTAGAAGTTAGAATTCATGAGCCATTGAATAGGGTCCCAGTGGCTGAATGGTATACGAGCCAGCTTGCCTTGTAACCGGAAGGTCCTGGGTTCGAATCCCAGTGGGTGCGTACTGGCGATGATTCCCAAACTAGGATGAAACAGCAGCTGTCCAGTACTCCCTGGTTTTCAATGGTTCTCTATCTGATATCAATCCGCGATCAACTCGTAAAGACTATATTTATGTATATACACACATCATTAAATTAAATTACTTCATCTCACTTTGCCCCATGTTCTCATTGACCATGCATATTAAAAAACTATCTGACTATTGTCTCATCCCATCTTATACCTGTTCCACAATACACTTTCTGATATGATTCTAATTCGCCTTTACTGGCTATTGTATGCTTAAATTAATGGATTTATAATTGTAGAGCCTGAAGAAGAATTTATTAAAAACAATTGTTCGCTGTAAATATTTTGTTCTGAATAAATTATGGGAATATTTAATTTACTGATATCAAATAAAATTGAAGAAATTTTCACAACAAATTGAGGATCATTAAAACCTTGATAGTCAAGGTAAGGATAGTATCTGAACCAGCTTCTTTTGGACACATAATTTAGGTTTCTTAATGTAGATCCCAACGGTTTCAGCACATGTAGTAGACGAACTCTTCAAGTTAAGATCAGTGGATATACGATAAATGACTTGTATACGAAATTGGAAATTATTTCTGTAATGTTTAAGATAAAAGTATCTCACTAAGTTTTTAGACTTCTTTAAACGTTTTTCCTCATGGCTATAGTGTTTTTTTGTCATCTAAGTTACACCGCCTTACTCCAATTTGCCACTTCAAGGTCACTTGAGTATATGTTTGTCCAAAAAACTATCCCTCGTTCAACGTCGTCCGTAAGGCGCCATTTTCGACAGTTTATTTTACAGTCGCCTAAAAACAGCAATCAGATCTCTTTGATAATAGCTATTTAGTGAACTATGGCAAACTTTGAGTATCCCAATAAACATGACACAAATTTAATTATTGACTTAATGTTTAATAATCACAGTGTTTATCGTTTAGTAGCTGGATAATAATCATGGGTAATACTCAATTAATTAGTTAATTAACTAATTAATTAATTACCGGAAACCATTTTTAATGATAATTGAAATTCAAGTGATCTTCGTATTTAATGCATATTTTCATGTAATAAAATGCAGTAAAAAGAACTCTGTATCTATTTCATTTTGTGTATCAAAAGACCAGTTACTATGGTAACTTTAATATTGTAACTTTTCAGAGACGACAGCATGAATGCTAAAGGAAACTGTAACAACAGCCTACTGGACATTAATGGAAAGGAAAGAGAGAATTAACTGTATTGTACTGTTTTGTACTAATTCTTATGAGCTTTTTAGCTTTGGATGTGATTGCGTTCTTTGAGCTGGTTGGCTTAATTGTAATGCATTCATTGTCTTTCTAGGTAGCATCTGCAGCATAGAAATTCAATATGAAGTGAACTTATTTGAGGTTTTAAGTTGTTTAAACCCTCAACCTCATTTGATATCACGAAGCCAATATCGTAATATCCAGTATTGAAGATATCACTATCCAGTGATCCAAGAGAATAGCAGACTTAAGTACCTAGAATGATCTAATCACTGTTCCCATAGGTCACAGTGAAATTAGACCGATAATCCGGGCTTATCATCAGTGACAAAGAAAGTTGAACAGGGCTTAGAGAAAACAAGTTATTCACATAGGCGACTTGAACTAAATTTTAACTTGTTATTTCTAACTCTAAAGCATAACTTAACCTTAATCTAACTCTTACCTCGAATTTCAGCCATTACGATTACTTCTCACACTTTTATAAGAAACGAAGAGTTGCTTCTTGCAGCATTTCAAAGGAAAATGGTATTATTCTTCATAAAACATTCATTTCGTAAATATGGCGAATACAATATTGTCAGACCCCGAACATCCTCTCCATACGCAGCTCTCTCCTTGCATTTCATCTGGTAGAACTAGAAGCAGCTATAGGAGGCTATATGCTAGGACTACCAAATACAAAAACTCCACAATACCATATCTGGCACCGCTGTTATGTGATGAGAAATCCGTTGGGTATGACACGATCAATTTACTACGGCACTCTAACAAATAGTCCCATTAGATTCTGTTTTCCTTTCCTCGTTACTATTACACTGTTGTTCTCATCTTCTATTACACACCAATTTTATATTTCATATCCTGTGGTGCATTGTTTGAAATGTAAACTCTATGCTGTTGTTTTTATTTTTTTATTTATCTTTTTTGGCGTTTCATTTTGATTTTAAAAATCTTATAAAATTTATGAGGTAATTAGATGCAATATATTGTAATGCACGCTGAAAATTCCATACCTGTACCACAAATACTGTTTTGGAATAAAGCTGTTATAATTAAAAAAATTATTATTATACTGTTTTTCTGTTAACTTAAACTACTAAGTTGATTGATTGGACCGAAGTGCTCGATCTCAGGTTGACATGTCAGTGCCTTGCGCAAATGCGTTAACGATGTCCGATCATGTAACCTGAAGTCAATTGGTGTATGATGACTAGCAATGGAATCCAGATTGCGCATTTCTCGCCATTTCGGACTTGTCATCAGGATGTATCTGCATTCCCCACATACGGCTGGTGTTCCCACCAAGGCTCGAGCCAAGTGCTCATAGTTTTAGGTGCCAAAGCGTCATCCCCTAGACCGTTTGGGCTACGAGAGCCACCTTTTCTGCAATGGGCCTAGTGGATAACGCTTTGGCACTTAAAACTATGGGCGCTGGGCTCGAGCCTCGAGTGAAAACACCATCATTCGGTGGAGAAATGCAGGTACATCCAGACAACGAGTCCCACATAGGCCGAAATTTGCATCCTGGATTCCACTGCTAGTCACCATCTACCAACTGACTTAAACTCCTCTGACTGGTGACTTCAGGGCTATTCGGCATAACTCAGTTGGTTGGAGATTCATCTACTATACACACAACTTATGCGATTCTAGACAATCATATATTCAGATGTGTCTACCTCATTAAACTTATTGAAGCAAGAAAATCTAGTTATTAGTCAAGTGGATATGATTTAGGTCAGTCAGTATGTTCAAGGACTGTCTGTCTGAGATATAAGTTTGCTAAATACAATTGTTGTACAACAGAAATTAAGATCATTGCTAATTGAGTCCAGACAACAACAACAACAAAAACAAATAAGTATGTAAGGCTCACTAAGCACAGAGAGAGGGCTTCATAAAGATTTTTTTCAAGTTTGCAAACCTTCTGTCTTAAAATACTGCCTAGGGTGAAAAACGTCAAGGAAGTACTTAAAATAAAAACGTATTTATCTCTGGTATTTAAAGGATGCGGGTGCGTCGGTGGCATAGCGGTTAGCACAGTCGTCGATCATGCACATGGTCTGGGGTTCGACCCCCGGCCACAGACGCACTCCTTTGCCTCGCTAAGCCAGAAATAATGCTGGTAAAGAGGAAAGGTTGGGCATGAGGCTAGCAACCCCATCCTGTAAAATAAACACCACTGTTACAGAAACTTCAAGCCACTAGCTTGAAGGTGCCCTATGTTCCACTGGGAACGTGAAGGGAAAACAATCAAAGGATGCAAGTAAGATCATCTATTGGAAAGCCAATGAAAATCAATAGGTACTGCGCTCTTCATCAATCCTAGTCACCCGTCACACCACCAATGCAAAAACCTAGGAGTTTCACGTTACATAGCGAGCTTGTTGACCACTGAGTCACTGGGAGGGAAACCAGGGGCCCACTGATTCTCGTGGCCTATAGGGCGACTGCCAGCCAATGTCACCAGTAAGTACTCATCCTCACACTTAACTTCAGGTGGACCCTTATGTTTATTTCACTATCAATGGATTTCAGACCTAGGACTAATAAAAACCCAAGAAGTTTCGAAAGCTAATTCCATCAAACATTTAAGCCTACAATTTTGAGAAGGCCCAATGACTTGGATCCTAAACCATAGAGCTATGAGTTAGATATTACACCCAAGTGGTCAACAAAGAGATCCGTTAATCTTTTTTTTCCTTCGCGTTCCGAGTGGAACATAGGGCCTCAAACTAGTGGCTTGAAGTTTCTGTAGCAGTGTTTAATTTTACAGGATGGGGTTGCTAGCCTCATGCCCAGCCTTTCCTCTTTACCGGCATTATTTCTGGCTTAGTGAGGTAAAGGAGTTCGTCGGCCAGGGATCGAACCTCGGACCATGTGTATAGTCGGCGAGCGTCCTAACCGCTATACCACTGACGCACGATCCGTTAATCTACGACTTCTAAATTCTAGCTATCAATAGTACAGCCCAATATATTTCCAGGATATATTCATATGAATAGGCTACAGCACAATTTAAATAATTCATCCGATGATCTTTAAGTCCACTCGAGACAAAAAAAGAGGAGAAGAAATAACTTACCCTCATGTTTAGTAAGAAATGGAAGTGTAATTTCACATGTCCGATTGAAATAACTACAGCGTTTCCAAAATCCACTATATGTAATATTTTCCGCTACAAAACAAAAAAGATGAGAGAATATTATAATATGCATTGGTGATGATTATCTTCACAATTTAGATGTCATTAAGAACTAACACTATAGTAATAAAATCAATGAACAAAGAGTAAGTAGCATTTGTACAGTTGTTTCGGACTAATGTGGAATTCAAGTATTGGTTTGTAGGGATTTCGTTGATTGCTTACAGGATTTCATCATGAGCTCACATTGATCAGGGAACAATTGGAAAACCTGGGAGTACTTGACATCTGTTTCGTCCTAGTTTGGGACTCTTCATCAGAACGCACCCACCGGGGTTCGAACTCAGGACCTTCTTGTTACAAGGCGAGCTAGCTCGTATACCATTAAGCCACTGGGACCCGATTCAATGGCCCATGAACTCTAACTTCTGACAATTCATGACATAGCGCGACCCCTAACCAATGTTTTCGGTGAGTATTTGTCCTCACACTCGGCCTGTTGCACCCTACTGGTCATGACTTCTCACTAGAAACCCAGGTTACTACCGATCTGAATAAGGCAAGTCACCAGGGGGCATCTCCAAGACTAGGACGAAACAGCTGTTCAGTACTTCCAGGTTTTCCAATGGTTCTCTAACCAATGTCAGCCCATGATGAAATTCTGTAATTTAGAATTATTCAATGGTGCGTATCTACGACCTCGAGTAAAACTTCAACACAGGACTAGTATTGATCAGTGGTGAAATCTGACCAAAAGTCAAATTTATCAAGTATGAAAGTTGTACTCCTTAGCGAATACACCAGGTGCATAAACCATAAATGCACACAGCGAACTCGTAGATACATGCAGGTAGTGTTTTCTGAGGAACATGTACTCTCCAGAGATTCGATTAATAACGTTTACAGAAGCTCAAATCCCTCAAATGAAAGAGTATATTATTGAATCTAGCTATTTAACACTCATTAAAACATCTTTTAAACTATCGTTTACTTGCAAAAATAGAGAAACTAAAATATGAAACGGAGCTATATTTAAGAAATCTAAAGTCTTAATCAGTTAAAAATTTAAACTACTTTTTACATGGTTTTTATTTTTTTATTTTTTCCCTTCCCAAGGGAAAATAGGGCTTCATCCTACAGCTTTGGAGTTTCTCTAGCAGTGGTGTCCATTTATTTTCACGGGGTGGGGTTACTAGCCTCATGCCCAACCTTCCCTCTTCACCAGTCTTATTATTGGCTTAGTGAGGTGGAGAATTGCGTCAGCCGGGAATCGAACCCTAAACCACATGCGTGGTTGGCTGGCGTTCTACTGCTGTGCCACGGACGCACTGTTCTGAAGTGATTTATTATTTCATATAAGCGTTCTCTTTGGAGAAATCCCAGTTCCGTTAAATATCTCATATCTATGCCTAAAACAACTAAATTTTGCAGTCATGCAACATCCACGACGCTTTCGTATTTCCCACTCTTTGTGAAGGTTGAATTCTGATTGGTTGTTAACTCTTTTGACTGATAAGTGAAATAAGTGTTTTCAAGTATTGGTTTTGTAGGGATTTTGTTTGATTGCATGGAAGATTTCATCATAAGTGTTTGTCAAGGTCATTTAAAATGAATCTTATCTGAGATAATAAACAAACACTCTGTTGTCAACTTTCAATCTTTTCATCTTTTATTTCGTGTGCCGACAACATTATTGTTGTTATCGTAGAGGTGGTTGTTTTGGACTACGAATCAGAATAGTTTTCGTTAACGTATAAGATTCATATCGATCATATCCAGTTCTGATGCCAAATTTAGCGAAATTTCTTTTGTCATTTTTAGCGCATATTTTAAACTTCCCTCATTTGATTTATTTCCGTAGATAATATAAGAAGGAGACGTAATCTACCTGAATCATGTAGGTACAGTGATATTAGAACAGTTGGATAACAGAAATGTATAAAAAATAACAAATTGTTATGACTTCAGAAAATGAAGGCTATATTGAAGGTCAGAATAATAGTGGAGATCAATAAACACAAATGTGGGATATTACTACTTTAGTTTCGGTTTTGAAATAAAATTTGCCAGGGAAGGTTTAGTGCAGCAACATAGTACTAAAGGTGGCTCAAACTTCCTGAGCGCTAGAGTTTCAACAAACTTTACGATACATCCCTCCAACAGACAGCCTTATAGGCTGGTTTATACAACGTAAAAACATCTAGTGTACATCCCATTTTAACAGTGTGATTAGAGCATGAAAACGAGTAGCTCTTTTAGACAGAAAAAACATTCAAAATCCCCGGAATCTCTAGACTCCTGGAATTCAGATTTATTTGAAATTGTCACATTTGTGGATACTAACCAAATCTGCGAGTCATTATGGAACAAGGGAATTGTCCTTTCCCCTATGTGACCTTTTAACAAAATGACCAATATCAATACAAATAAGCGAAAGGAAAAGAAGACCTTTAGTCAAGGGTTGGTTTGAATAGCTAGACGTCTTTGACTGTTACATTGAGTAACACAGATCCAGATCTTCGCAGTGTCATCCATTCCTTCAAAGCTACAGATAAGCCGCACTGACAAGTGCAAACAAACACAAGAAATAGATTCAAATCGCCCAACAAATCAATACAGTGTGCATCGCGATGATGGCACCTGTTACACCCCGATAACCAATCAATGTAAGCGCAGTGATTTCTATTAATCATAATGGAATATTAGCAAACCTAAGAAAAAGTCATCCGAAATACCTATTCGCATCTCTATCGTATATTCCTAATAAATAAAATGTCCAAATCTGCTGAGAGATAATTATTTTCCAAAACTGATAGAGACAATCCAAAATATTGCTTATAATTTTACAAAGTGACATCGTATAGAGTTAGACAGCCGTTTTTTGTAATCTGGGACAAATCAGCAAGACACACCTACAGCCCTGCCAGGAGTCAGACCCAGGAGCTTCAAGTTACGAGGCTAGTCGTTTAATCACTCCAATAAAGTGTTTGAATTTAGCGACCCTATGCGTTTTAATTTTTGTCACCACGAAATTTAGTGTTACTTCCAAATAGTAGCATCCGTAAGCTTCCTATTCACTTCAAAATGTTGAAACTAACCTACAATGACCTTTTAATTGAACTTCATGACTTTTATCTTATAGTTACTCATGAGTTAGGGATTCATATTCCGATAATTTCACGGAAAATTTTAGATCAACCAGTTGTGATGAAAGAAATTTACTCAAATGAATAAAATGACACAAAATAATCAATTATCTGTATTCTTTCTTTAAGGAAACTATTTTTTAATCAATAAAAACTTCGACTATTTTATACTGTTAACTTCTTCAAAAAAAATTCTGCTTTCAATAAAAAAGAAAGTCAACAGGCAAATACACCTGCATAATTGGTTCGGCGGTAGTATGCTCGTCGACCATGCCTGTGGTACAGGGTTCGATCCACAGTCTGCACATATCTCTACCTCACTTGGTTGGTTGTAACCCTGACAAAGGGGCGAGGCTGGACGTGGAGCTAGCAACCCAATCATGAAAAAACAGCACTGCTATGGAAACTTCAAAGCTGGAGCTTGAAGCCCTATGCTCCACTCGGAACACAAAAGGACTTCATCGCAAACCAGCAGTAGTTGAGTAAACAGTAGAAACTACAGAGTATTGAACAACTGTGTCATTCAAGTGTAGGAAACTTCAATAATAGGCACCAAATAGTGAGATAAGGCGAGTGAATATAAAACTGGATCTGGGTGAAAACTGTAATTGATTGAAGTCTTGCAGACACGCTTCGCCGATGAGAGACAATAACGGAGCTAAACGAGACATTTTTTATTAGTTAACACTTATAATATATAAGCTTATATAGGCCGTATAATGCACTGCTAGAAGAAGGAAGAATAGAAGCCATACGATTATAATCACCAACTTGGATTCAGGAAGGACAAATCATGTGCTGATAAAATTACACTTCTACGCATCATCATCGGACAAAGCATAGAATGGTAGTCAAACCTCTCTCTGCCTCAACTTCATCGACTTCAAAAAGGCCTTCACCGGACAGCGTTGACCGGGAAGTAATTTGGAAACTACTTCAACACTACGGCATGCAGTGCCCATGTCTTTATCAACCTTATTCAATAGCTGGCTATACGACAATGCCACGTGTCAGGTGATCCACAATGAGAAACTCAGCAAGGCGTTCGAAGTGAATGCAGGAGTAAGACAAGTCTTACTGCCTATTATCACCTATGATGCTGCTTATTGTGGTCGACTGCATTATGCACCAGACTGTGGAGAGCGAGGAGACAGGAGTACGCTAGACCACAGATTAGAAGACTCTAGAAAATCTGGATTTTGCAGATGATATGTGTATACTGTAGAACAAACTCGAAGAATTGCAGGTGAAAAGCAACAAACTGGCAGAAGAAGTAGCGAAGACAGGACTTCAAGTGGACATACAGAAGGCGGAGTTGATGAGGATAAACAACCAACAGCGACAGCAACAACAACCAGTACCAATCACCATCAATGAAAGAGATTTAACAGAGGTTACTTCCTGCCTTCACTTATCTAGGAAGCATCGTTTCGAATACAACCGGTGGAATGAATGAAGGTGTCAAAGTCAGAATCGGAAAGGTAAGACACACCTTCATCAACCTGAAACAAGTTTGAAAATCTTTCGCACTCTGCAGCATAAAGAAGAGGATTCGGATTTTCAAAACCAATGTCAATTCGGTCCTTCTATGCGGGTCAGAAACCTGACCGGGGTGTAACGAAGAGGATTTCCATCAGGCTACTTCAGACTTTTATCAACTGCTGCTTTCACGGATTTCCTACTAAAGATCTAATGGACGGCCAGAAAGAATTAACAAACAAGGAACTCTTGCTGGGAACAAGCCAACCAACGATTATGTAATAGAAAGTGGAGATGGATCGGGTTTAAATTGAGTGGAACGTCGCATAAAATCGTGTGCTAGCTTTAGTGGAACCCAAATTGGAAACGACGAGTGGGTCGTCCGAGGGTGACATGCGGGAAATCGTG